TTAGAATTACTTAGTAAACTCTTAACCCATTCCCACGTTCAAGGAAAATTATTTTCTTCCGCCATCAAACTGACTTTCTTGTGAAGAAACTTTCCTTCATAGTTTTTCGGAAGGGAATGGAATTAAATAAATCATAATTTCGAAACAATGGCATTTTTAATTTAATTTTCGGCCACTTTGGAATGTCGTTATTATGGAAACTTGAACAACTTCGTTAGTTCTTTGTCAATTTTTATTTTCGGAGGCTCACTGAAAATATATTTTTGTCCCTGCCGCCTTCCATATTAAAATTGTCTAAGAAATGGCTGAGCTTTGACAATTGTATAAGAATTGTTATACTAAATTAAATCAAAGTGCATCAAAAATTTATTATTTTTTTTAAATACGAACTTTTATGTGAATCTCTTACATTTAAACAAGTAGCTATTTTCAATTTTTCTGAACTTCTACCAAGGGAAATGTTTAGCTAGGAAGTATATTATCAATGCTCTCTAGTTCACGAATATCGCCGAATTAGTTAATATTTTATTTCGAGTTTTTTAAAACTTACAAAACTAAGGAAAGTGCACCTTCAATTTCTTATAGTATGGAGCGTGAACTAGCCTAATGCACATATCAGTTGGTATTTGTAGAGCCACTTGTATCGGCTGAGCCTCTGGGCTGTCGTACAATGTTCAATCGACCCACTGAACGCGACAAGCAGTTCTGTTGTGAACGTTGTTGCGGTGAGTTGTGTGTTTCTTCGTGTATTGTCGCGCTTTTGTGTCATTTTTATAAAAAATTTCTTAAGAGCTTTTTAATTATTACTGCTGGCGGTAAAAGGTGTTACTGTTCATTTCGATTGCCTCTTTGAAGATACCTATACATACATACATACATGCATGTATTTATATTAAAACGGGTAAACCTGGATGGATCGTAATGGACAGAATCTAATTGAAGATGTTTATAAGAAAAAGTGAAGGCGCTGGTTATCGACTAAAAGCTTGTTTAATTTAATTATATATTTATTATTTAATAGGCAATTCGAGTGCTAAATGAACGCGAATTTAAATTTGGCAAATGTGAGATGTGAATAAATCTACGTTATATACAATAAAACAACTATTTTTTTTTTAGCATTTTTGTTAAAAATTTATAAGAGAAAATAAAGCAATTTAAAAGGCAAAAGATCAAGTGAGCTATTTAATATATACATATGTACATACGTTCACGGCAAAAAGTATTGGCACAAAGAATATTTCAACATACATATGTATGTATATGCAACAATTTTTATTTGAATTTCTTTCGCCAATTTTTTTACAAAAATATGGTTCGTACTACAACAAAAAACATAAAAATATAATGTCTAAACTTTGTGCAAAACTCTAGAAAATTCAATAAACTATCATGGAAATTTTCGACTTCGAAGTTGCTAAAAAATCGCGTTGATTTTTTGGATTTTTTTTAGGTGTTTCACATTTTTCCCATGCAAAGTATTTATGAGATTTTGTTTAGACCTAGCTACTTCCAGTCTTGCGCTTTATTGTACTAAAATTTAATGGCATACAAAACTGCAAAAAAAAAACTAAAAAACCTAAATCCAAAATTGAAAATTTTAATCAAAATTTTGTGTTGCAGTGGGAACCATATTTTTATAAAAAAAAAATAATAATAAAAATTTAAATAAATATTGTTACATATATTGTGAAAAATTCTCCGTGCCAATACTGTGTACTGTGAGTGTACATAAATACATATGTATGTGTTGCGAAAAGTGTGTAAAAAGTGAATTGAAAACAAATAAAAAATGTTCACTAAATAATTTAAAAAAATAAATAACGCCAAAATAAATATAAAGTGCAGGAAAAATTGAAATAATAACACTAAATTTACAAACAAATATGAGCATCAACTATGTATATTTGTCTAATCAAACTAACATCCCTGCTTAAAAATTGTGGTGCAAAAAGTGTAAGAAATAACAAGTTTACGATTTTTATGACATCCGTAGTGGGAATTCTTGTTAGCAATCTTCATTATAAACAGTGGTTCGTAACACATATGGAGACGTTTCGACCTATGCTATCAATTTAGTGTATCGCCAATTTGTTTTATATATAAAAAATATTTTTTTTTTTACTACTTTTTTTTCAATGCACTCAAAAACCAATTTATCAAAAATCAGAAACTAATAAAAAATATAATTTAAAGCCCAAATATACAAGATTGTATCACTGCTTTCATATACTTATGCCGGCCAAGGTGCACAAGTTGCTCTAGCAGCTTACGATCATGATGTAGAATAGACTTAAAAGTGACTTCAAATGGAAAATATTTGGTCTCAAACCGACTGCAATGTCAAGGTGGTAGTGTCAAATGTGAATGTGTACACCAAGTTTGGTTGAAGCCTATACATGCACATACATACATACCTACGACGGGTGCATATATTTACGCAAAACTTATTCTCCAAATATGTACAGTATGACGCACAAAGGTATTGTTTAATGCACAGTAACAAATTAACTTTCAGTTACTACACAGTACCTGCCAGGTGTTTTCGCCCTCAAATTTCGCCTGAAATTATTTTGTTGAATTCAGCCAACACAGCCAACGCGAAAGTGAATTGTGCAGATCTTCAAAGAAATAGTCCCTCATAAAATATTAGTTAAAGCACATTCGCTAAAGAAAAATTCTAAATGTCGTGGCTTGTGGTGTATCGGAACAACGCATGTAGTGCAGAAAAGTAATTCAACATCTGTCAGACTCATGCTTTCGCACCTCGCTCTTTCCTCTAGCTTTGGAGAAGTAGTACGTCTGTTTCTTAGCGGAACTGCTCAAATCAAGTAGATGGCCTGGTGTGAACGTGCTAAGGGTTGGTGACTTAGCAAATCTCGTTCAAAAGCCTCATGCATAGCCCTAGCAAAGGCGGTCAAGAAGTTCTCATTATCTTTATTTTACTTTAAAGTAGAATAAGTGCGAATGGTCGAGGTCTGTAACAGGCGAAGAACACCAGAACATTCAATCATTTTCTGTGGGAGGCTTCCATCAACATAGGATAGTATGCCAGAACTGATTTCTTGTCATTAAAAGCCCAGTCAGAGCGCTTTTGCGAGAAGGACAGTAATTTCAAAAGAATTTTTTTACATAAAAAACAATCACCAAACCCTGGAAAAGCTTGGTAGATGCCATGTGAAATCTGCACCATCAATTTGAATGGTTACGAAAAGATCCACTGAATTCCGTTATAGTCGTACCAGCACAAGTAACGTCGAACTATCAGGTCGCCGGAAAGGATTCGACAACGCCAGAAATCGTCGATAAAGTTCGCGGAATGATATTGGACGGTAGGAGAATGAAAATATTTGGTGTGGTTGACACTGTAGGTATCTCAAATGAGTGGGTATGTTACATCTTTGTACATGAAAAAGCCATCCACGTGATGAACGCCGCGATTACTCACCATACTCGACCACAAGCACTTCAGAGACTGTAATCTCATGGCAGCCTGTTTTACGTAACGGAACGACTCGGATTTTACCCGACGAAGTGCTGTTGTTACGGCGATCTAACCCCGGATTCTTCTACGGGCGGGCATTGAGTCCACATCCGGGCTACTACTTCTGCTGCGTTTGTTAGAGACGACTGCATCCGAACTCCACTTCGGTTAGGTGCAACTCTTGCAAGGGATGGAGTCACCTAAGAACTTGCTCAGACCTTAGGTGTCACAGAGTGTGGATCACAGGCTTTGTGGCCCCCTGTTGCTCAGGTCAAACTGAATCGGAAGTGACCGCAATAGTTCACTTTAACAGGATGGCATCGTATGCGTCGCGTCCAACTGGAAATATCGTAATTGTGCGTACGTAAACACTTCCTTCCTGTTTGATCATCGCAAAAGTAGAGTAATACATACTACCTGCTGTGATTTATACACTTGATTTCCACTGCGATATGTAATAATAATGCGTGTTGTTTTTTTTTCGATTTTCTTTTGCTTTTCAATTTGCGCGTTAAGTGGAAATTCGTGATTTTCCACTTTGGCTTTTCTCAATGTGCCACACTTATTGTACGTATGTATGTACATACATAGATATTAATTACAGCTCAAGGCGTTAGCTTTACAACAAGTGCCTTTACGCTTTTGTTTACATTGCAAACATCTCAAATATGCAGTATGAGTGATATGCAAATATGAGTGAAGCAATGAATTTTGCATGTGGAGTAAACATTGAGTTTTTTATGATTTCGCGATTATTTGTATACATATATTATTTTTTTTATTTTTTATTTTTTATTTTTATTTTTTTTGTTGCAAACACATTACCTACTAACTCATCCTACTCTCAGCTGTTATGCGATTTTTATAGCGCAAGTAATGAATGCCGTCCGTGCATAAATATTTGCATTGTCGTTGGTTTGCATAACAGCTAATCACAGCCTACCCATTGGCCATCAGCTGTCGTCTGCTAACTGTTGTCTGTGGTCTGTCGTGCGCCAAGTTGGTTGACCAAACAGCACTTGTGGGCTTTACCGGTCTATGTACATATACATATGTATGTACATATTTACATTTCACCAAGCTATTCAAGCGAACACCCACAAGAGTTGCGATAGACTTGTGTTGTTTTATGTAGTAAACAATAAAAGCAAATAAACGGTTTATTACGAAAAACATAAAAAGCTCTGAGAGCGGCTAAAAACCAAAAAGCGGCCAAAGAAATTGCGCGATTTTTAGTTGTTTCGCATAGTCAATGACGGGAAAAATTTAGTGACTCGATATTAATTGGTAATGAATGAAAAAAAAAAAATTATAAAACAAAACAAAAAAATAAAAATAAAATAAATGAGTGCGTCGTACAAATGAATTTACATAAAAGAAGAAACTTGGTAAAAATAAATCAAACAAAATTTTATAAAACATTTCTTATTGAACCCCTTAATAAAACAAATATTTGAATACATTTTTTTTTTAAATGTACTAACTTTTTATGTGATATTTTTGCGAAAAAATTTAGAAAGTATTAAACGCGAAATTTTTTTCTGCAAAAACCAATTTATCGAAGAAAAATCAATACTGACTTAAAAAGATCAAGTTTTATATGTGTGTATGCATGTCTACGATTAAACCAAAAATTTTCCCTTACCATTAATGAAAAAAAAACGCACTGAATTTTGCCAACGTTTACATTTCAATCAACAGCAAGACAAATATTTTGATAATCTTCGTATCTAGTGTATTTTTCGTGATTATTTCAGAGCTGAAAATGCAAAAGTGAAAATTGTTAACCTGATCGCAAACAAGAAAGTTAGCGCCAAGCAAAAAGAGTCGAATGAGACTTAAAAAATAAATAGTAACAAAGTGCTTAAATACACACATAAATTTCTACATTATTGTTGTGAATTTAAATATCTTCCGAAATTTGCTCCAAATGTCTACACCAATTTGGTTGAACCACAAACAGTCACACTTGTTTTGCTGCGCATGCGCAACTGCATTGCTGACACTTTTACTATTGATCGACGGTGCGGAGAGTTATGGCTTCGGCAGATGTCCAAATTACCCATCGATGCCGAAATTCAATATGAGTCGGGTAAGAGGTGAAAAAATAAAGTTTGACAAATCTTATATACATAGTGCTTATCACAATTATATGCCAACCACATATCGACAAGTTTTGGCTATTAATTATTCTATTATAAAAGCAAAGCCGTATAGCTACAAGTTTCAAACTTTGTGCAATATAAAAAAATGGTTTTATATTTCTTTCTATTTTAGTGCAAATTTGAATTACATAGCTAGGACTTACCGTTGGTTTTTGGCAATTATTTTTTTGCTGGTGTAACATATTTTCTCCATTAAAAAATCGTCGTATTATTCGATGTGTTTGATTTATATTTCTTTTGCTTCGTATTTTTGTTTTTGAACACGAAGATGAATACGAAGGCAAATACCAAATACGAAGAGCAATAGAATACGAGTTCGAAGAAGAATACGACAACTAAGACGAGCACGAATAAGAAGACGGATACGAGCCAGAGTAGGAATACGATTATGAACACGAATATTAATACAAAGACAACTACGAATACGAAGCCGAATAAGGAGATGACAACGAAGACAAATACGAAGGCGTACACGAATACGGATATGACTATGAAGACGAATACGAAGATGAATACGAAGACGAAGACGAAGACAAAGACGATGACGAAGACGAGGTTGAGGTCGAATACGAATTCGAATACGAATATAAAAACAATTGCCAGATTATTTCGAATACAAGGACGACGGCGAATACGAATATGAAGAGGAGGAATACGAAGATGATTGCGAATACGAATACAAAATCGGCACTGAAAAGAATACGAATACGAATACGAAAACGACGACGAAGATAAATATGAAGAAGAACATATACCATGTTACGGGCGGGGAAGTAAAAGTAGTAGTAGGTTAGTAAAAGTGATTCAAATAGCAAATTTCAGCAAAATCGAGATACATTTATTAACTTTGCCTGCAGCTTTTATAGGGATCTGTCAGTGTGAAGCGTTCAGTCTATGGGAAATATTGACGCAGCTCTTTGTGCCACGACCCAGTGCCCCACACGGGTTAGTTACCGCATCTCGCACAACGCGTTGCTTACGTTGTCCAGAGTGCGCAAACGAGAAAGCAAATGGCGGGATTGAGTAGGATCATGCAACTGTAACTGCTTATGCAAAAGAACGATCATACGCCATTGCAATCTCTTTGTTTTTTATTAATTGATATTTTTTTATACAGAGTTCCGTAACAGTTACTGCGTTATTTCATTTGTAGGGTAAAAAATTAAGTCATTAAAAATGGCGAGCTTATATACTTACGCATTAAATGCAATAAAATGCATTTGGAACTGCCGCATATGCCGCTTCAAGATTTTATTGCTTTTAACCTGAATGTGTTATGGAAGAAAACGGTGCATTACACAATAATTTAATAACAATAAATATTGTAGTTACTGACTCATTCTTCGTTTTTCTTGTAACGAATTTTTTATTTGCATTTGTTAAATAAGATACATTTTATAATGCAGATATATACGGGTACATACGTTTTTGTTTGCTACATACATACATACATACATACGTGTATAAACGAATATACATACCCTTATGGTAAGCTGATTAAATTAAGTGATATTTTTACCAGTTTGGCTATTTTCTTTTGTTTATAATTTGTTTATAAAAGTCTAGAAAATTGCGTAACCGGCACCACACATTTCAAACTTCAATTCTCATATAAAATGTATATATATTTCATGATCCAATGATCGGATCTAAACATGGGCGTAGCCAGGTAGGGGAAGGGGGGTCCTCGAGCCCCCCTCCCCCCCTAACTTTCAAATTTTCCTTATATATATATAAAATAGTACCCTGAAATGCCAGCTTAATAGGGTCGAGACCTCCCCCCCCCCTAAATTTCATTCTGGCTACGCTGATTGATCTAAACCAGATTAATATGGGACCACCTCTGAGACACTATCTTTCCGATGCAAAAGAAGGAATCGGAATCAGTTATGCGGTAACATACATAAAAAAAAAATATTCCGACGAACTGATAACCTCCTCCTTTTTTGGAAGTCGGTTAAAAATCACCGCGATTTTCCAGCGCATTGAAATATGCACTTTAACCTATTAAAATGGGCTAAAAAACTGCATACCTAAAATTTTTTTAAAAATTCTGAATAAAATTTTAATGTAATTTATGTACGAAATTGGAAATGTGTATATTAGGGTGGTCCTTAAATGAAGGAAGCAAATTTTTATATAATATTTCCTAAGCCTCAACCCCTGCGTCGATGCTACTTTAGTCGAAGACATTACATAAAAATGTTGGTCCCGATTGGAGATCGTTAAGGCGTGGGCACAGGGGTCAAAATTCAGATTACCCTATGAAGACGTATCAACCGAATCCAATCGGGACCAACATTTGATATCTTCGACTTTAGTAGTATCGATTTTGGGTATTAAATAAAAAAAAATATTTTTAATTTTTTAAGTCTCCATAGAAGAATCTTAACTTTGCCCCCAGTGCGGCACGCCTTAACCATCTCCAATCAGGACCAACATGTATGTACGATATCTGTGACCGCTGTATTGCCGATTGAGGGGGTGAGACTGAAAAAATCGTTCATTTGATTTTTAAGGACCACCCTAGTTGGTTGTGTAATGTGCTAGACTTTTATAAAAAAAATATAAATATTAAATAAACAAAAGGATAATAGCCAAAAATGTCACTTAACTTAATCAGCTGACCACAAGGGTAGGTATGTTTATCTTTTTGTTTATTAAATTAATTTGCACATATTTTGTTTTAGATATTGGTCTATATATGTATGTATGCATACTGTATAAATGTTTTTAAGCTTGAGTTTCGGTGTTAATTAAAACTGCAAAGTTTCATTGTTTTTAATAATACTTTGCCTTGATATTACATAATTTTCTACAATTAATGCAAAAATAAGTTGTAAAAAGTATAGGAGTAAAGATAAACACTACTTAGTATATGTATATATGAATGTCAAATAAAAAATAAATTACATAAATACACTTTTAACCACCTTAGTCTAGAATATCTTTGCTGTTGTTCGTTTTGAATTCATAACACGCGGCAACAAAAATGGAAACAAATTTTGGTGCGACAAATGTTAAAAATATTTTTAATAGATTTGTTTTTTTTTTTTTGTGGTAATTATGTGTATAAGGTTTCCATCAGATGGAGATGTTGAGATAAACCTTGTCGAAGTGTCAAAAAAGTTCGTTTTTTGGCTATATTTGAGAAGCTCAAGCGAAGAAAGAAAGGCTCACAGAACCTTCCACTAAAGCTTTAAATTAAGGCTTGGACTTTCAATTACAATCCCTTGACCTCGAGGTCAATTATAGTAACTTATTTAGCAGCTAAAACTGATTTTAGTGAAGTTTGCTTACCTCTTGTTAATACAGAAAAAATTATAGAACCTTCTACTTGGTATTTAATTAAGTCTAAAATTTTATGAAAAATATGCGCTATCGAAAATAAACAACTTATTTACAGAGAAACACACATCACGGGAAATAACAAGCTAACTATTGCATAAAAAAAAAAAAAACAAATGTATAAAACCAGAAAAATTTTCCCAACCCTGAGATTTTTGTGGCAAACCCTGAGCCCCGAGATTCAACAGGAAGCACCTGGACGTCAGGATGAAAAATCGTATCTGGAAACCCTAGTTGTAGGGATGGAATTTTCAGAGATTGTAGTCGAAAGTTCAGGCTTTACTTCAAGTTTAAGTTGAAGGTTCTGTCACTTTTTGTTTCTTCGCTATAGCCACTCTAACACTGCTAAAAAATGATTTTTTTTTTTTTTAATTTTGGTCACGTTTTCTCAAAATCTGAAGCTGATGGAAACTTTGTAACTACGCTCGTTTAATCCCTACAAAAAAAAAAACTATCAAAAATAGATTTAACTTTTGCCGCATAAAAAAAATTGTGTTACCCTGTGTAATAGCATTTTAAAAAATAATTATTACAGTTTTTTATTGACCACTCACTTGCATTGCACGAATTTGAGGCCATTATATGTACTTGTGCTCTGTCGTTAAAGCTCAAGTAAGCACTCATAATTGATCAACTTGATTGCACTCGACGTTTGTTTTCTTGTTTTCTTAGCTTGGCATAGAATTCTAGAAAAAAAAAAGTAAATGACCAGTTTTTTGTGGTCAAGCTGCTGGTTTTCAACCATTAAGTATATTTTCAATTGAATGATAAGTACGCACGTACTTACAAATACTTACATATGTGTGTATGTATACAAATACCCTGTGGGGAAAATCTCTAGTTCTGAACTGGGGCGCTTTTAGTACATTTAGACCCAGTACTGGTTCGCGATAAATCTCTTTTGCATGCAAGCAACTGGCGAATTTAACATGGCGATGTCCTAGGAAGTGTCAATTGCCCCCCGCTGCATCCCTTTTTCGATAGTTCCGAACTAGTCCTAAATTCTATAGTTCCGAACCAGTTCTAAAATCGACAGACGAAAGAAAAAAGTATCATGATTTTTCAATCTTTTCGGTTCTTCCGTGTGCGATTTACATTATTTTCAAAGAAACATTTTTTCAATTTGAAATTAAATTAGTTGAAATATACGTTTACATACCTTGCTGTAGCTGACTTTGCTGAGGTGCTCGCTGTTATTGGTTAGATTCCATACGGCCCCAAGATGTTAATATGTTAACACAAAGCTTTGTTTTGTATTACCAAACTATGAAATAGCATCTGCGAAGCACAGAATAGAAGCGTATTTGAACGAAAAAGCCGCCGAACACATATCTATGTAAAGTAAACAAGCCCCCCGCTGCATCCCTTATTCGATAGTTCCGAAATAGTTCTAAATTCGACAAATAGGATCTAGTTCGTTCTGCATCTCTTTTTCTATAGTTCCGAACCATTTCTAAATTCGTCACTTTAGATATAGATTTGTAGTGAAAAAATCTGAAAAAATTAGTTTCTTAAAAGTACCACTTTTCGTGATTTTGGACTGGTGGGGATCTAGTTCCTATCGGACTAGTTCCTTTTT